AAGATGGGTTGGGAGCATGCTGCACAGGACGCAGAAGACGAGGCCATGGAGCATGGACTAAGTGCAGTGGGTGCTGTGAGCTAACAGGAATCAATGAGTATTTTAGGAGGCCAATATGGATACTCAGATCCTCAGAAAGACTAGAAGCAGGGAGCCTGTAGTAAGGGTCTGCCCTTTCTCATCTGAAATCTGATTCCTTTCTTACTCTTAAATTCTTTCAAGGCCAAACTCATGACTTTCTAAGGCTTCCTGGGCCAATGCGCAGTTTAGAGGGATCTCCTGTGAATCAGTTGTCCCACAGCCTCTCCTAGTTAACTATTCCACCTCAACTCTAAGCTTATGGGTCGGTAGGGGGTAGGTTTTATTTCAGCTTTGTCTCAGCACTTCATAATAAATAACTCAATAAATACTTGTCAAGTTAAAAACTAGACTGAAAACAAACAGAATAAATGTGTAAAAGAAAATCCTCTCAAAATCCACAATATGGATTATCTAAGCCTTTGTGCCCCAATTAAATAATCCGAGTTCGTTTTTTTTAAATGCCAGATGTGTACCAGGTACTAGTGGGATGAAAGATTGAAGTAAAAATGTTGATATCATAGTTTAACCTCATTTTCCATCAGCAGGTGGCTCGCTTGCCTCCCGTACTCCTCAGGCAAGGCACCCTCTTGGAGTTCGGACCTGGGTGGTATGCATCTTTCCTAATAATGAGGATGAGGACAGCCCGGGTAGAGCCCACTTTTTTCCTGGTACTTAAGAGTACGGGACATCCTTGGCTGGTTTCATGCATGTGCTTATTCACACAACAGTTACTGAGCTCCAAAGGCCAGTTAGCCGGTGATGGAATGACAGCCCCTCCAAGGTAGCGCTATGATAGTGCCGCTGCAATTGGCTCCACACAATGAGGGAGGAAAAGTTGGTTACAGGCTTTATTTACATATCATAGAGCTTTAGGTTAAAAAAAAAAATAAGTGCTTTTGCACCAGGATAATTCTAAGTGTCCATCTGATCTGAGGCCGCGGTTGGAAGGACAAAGTTTAGACAAAGAAAGCCAGCTAGGTCAGCTCCTCACCCTTGCTCTTTCCAGGCTTCCGCTCGGGGGATGCACACAGGAACTCCGAGGGCATCTGCCCAGGCAGCCTCTCCATGGGCCGAGGCCAAGATCTTCTCTAAAAGTCGCTCAGAACACGACACAGGGCCGGGCGGTCACTTCAGGAAAAGGGTTTGAGAGGGGGACAGATGTAGGGAAATGGTAGGCGAAGCTCGCCCAAGAGAGGCTCTCGGCCCAGGAAAAGGAAGAGAAGCGTCTTTCCGGGGCTGGCGGCCCGGCCAACACCCACTGGGTCCTGCGGCCCCGCCCCAACGCCACCGGTCCCAGGTCCCCGGCCCGCGTCCGCCGCCGCCCCTCGCTGGGCCCCTCCCACAGCCCCGAAACTCACTCGCCAGCTGGCTGTGCACAATCGGCGGCGGCTGCGGCGGCCCCGGCACTCCCGCGAGCTCGGGCTTCTGGGCGCTCACTTCCGGGTCCCATCTAGGCAGCTCGGAGGTCCGCTCTCGGTCGTGGGTGCTCCTGGGGAGCTGGGCTCAGGCGGCATGTGGTGGCAGCTCCTTCGGCGTCTTTCCTTCCGCGGGGAGGGGTTAAGGCCGAGGGAACAGAGCTATTTGTCCTGTATCGCCTCCGTGGACCCGGGGTCTAAACTGGTTGCTTCTTTCTTGTGCCAACTACCCCTTACGCATTCCATTTGTCTCCTCCGCTCTCTTTCTGCCCTTTTACTGCCCATCTCCACTCACCTTTTCCTGACCGCAAGCCGGGCTGACCCTACTGGGCCATACAAATTCTATGCGCCCTCAGTCCAGCTTGACCTCCTCTCCATCTGTGACTTCAACCCAGCCGGTCTTGCCCCTCCCAGTTTTGCCCGGGGTACCATAAATAAGGACGACTTTGTACCGAAGGCTAAGAGGAGGAAAAGCCTTAGAAATAGGGCCAGGATTCAAGCACTCTACTGCTCCTGGAACCTGGTTTGTCAAAAGCATATTTGATAATGTCGAAGCGGGAATAATGGGAAAGGAAATGAGTTGTTCGTGATAAGGGAAGTTTCCTGCTAAACTCTGAAATAACAGCTCCTGTTATGGAGCATTTAAACTGACATTACTCAATAACCTTTACAACAATCCCGTGGGGTTGGTACTTTTTAGTATCCTACATGCCAGAACCTGCAGAGCAGCATTTGAACGCTGGCCCATTCACACCGGAGCCTGGTGTCTAACTACACCCAGGACAGACAAGAAGACTTGGTGGAGATTTGTAATATGAGCAACTGACGGAAAGAAAAAAGACAAGACTGTTGTGATTATAACCAACTTTTAAATTTATAAACATGAAATACAGCTAGAACAGGTTAACCATTTTCTAAAAGTAAGAAAGTGAATGAGATGCACCAGCAAAATTTAAAATACACCATCTGTTTGAAATCCTCCTGACAGTCTTAGACTAAACATTGACTCCTTCATGCACTTATACTCTGAGAGGGGGTAAGATGTGATGGCATATGATTTGTTAGAAGAGACATGTCAACAGTTTTGCTGACCCCAGCAAGGAGTGCCTGTTGGTAGGCAGCTCTTACCAGAGCCCAGGACACTTCATCATTTCTCTAGTCATATTTAAGTTCTCCAAACCCAAGGTATCCCTCCCTGGACAACTAGTCCAACACTGCTAAGTGCTTGCTTATTTAATTCCCTTTTTAAGATTTTATGCTCAACATATTATTTTTACTAGTTTAAATATTAGTATAAATATTTTTAGCACTATATAGCCAATAGCTTTTACATTATATTTATATATAATTTTCATTCTATTTAACTACATTATATGGACAAGGAAGCAGCTGGGAAGGCCAAGTAAAATTTCCTGAGTCAGACAGCTAGTAAACAGCCAAGTTCCAACATAAGTATGTCTAATTCCAAAGACATTGCTTTGACAACTAATCTGTTTCACTCTTCTTTACTCAACGGAGGGTTTAATCCATTTGATTAGGTTGTGTCCATTTGCTAGCGCTATGATAGTGCCTGGCAATTGTACTAATGAATGACTGTATGGATGAGGTTGTTTTTTCAGATGACCCCATTGTGCTTTGCTGAGATGACATTCCAGGGGCTTCCTTTGAACTGTTTTTAAACTTACTGTTACCCATACTACTTCCTAGGGTGAGGCATTTCTTCAGAGCTCATAATTCCCTTGAAAACACTGTGCTCTCAATGCTCTTTTGCCTGAAATACTCTCCCTACTCCTCTTCCAATGTTACCATCTCCCTAGCCTGCCTCTGTCCATTCTTTTGCTCAAGCCAAAACCTAGTTACTAAACTTGGCTTTCCTATTACCAGCTTTGCTCCACTGCTATAAATAATTAGAGGTGACAGTAAGTCTTGGTAAGGATGCAAGCTCTAGCTGGCAGAAAAACTTGAGTGCCATTTTGGGCATTGACAAATGAAAATGTCAACCTACTGATGGCAGTGGAGGTGTCTTAGCAGGAGATGGGTAGGAATGTGGGAGCTTTGACCTGCAACCTGTCAGTCAAAATTGTCTAAGCCTGTTCGAAGGATAGGGGTAGGTGGTATCTATCTAGCTCCCAAGATATTAGGACATTTTCTCCAGAGAGCTCTGGGAGCAGTTATGATCAGCAGCAAACTGGTAATAGTGAATCACTCAGGATGTAACAGGGAATAAAGAGCCATCAAAATCTTCTCTGGGTTCAGGGATGTACCTAATGCCAACATGATGATGACAGAAAGCTTTGGAGCCAAACAGACCTGACTTTGAGCTCTTCATTTTGTGTGACCCTAACAGGTTCTTCAACCATTTTACACCTCAGTTCCTCTATAAAACAGAGGTACTGCCCTTGCAGAGTCATGAGGATTAAGTTTGAATATGTACATATGTACATACAGGCAGTGGACAGATAAAAGATAAATTAGGTGTCCCTCAACTATTAGATTTTTCTCTTCCCTGCACAATCTTTAAGACTAATAACACACACTCACATTGGTCTCAATATCAGCAAGCCTAAAGGGTGAAGGTAGTTGCCCTTGAGGATTATTGTGTTTTCTCACTTTTAATGTTTTATTTAAAAAACACATTCTACCTGTAAAATGGTGCAGCTACTTTGGAAAGCAGTCTGACAGTTTCTCAAAAGGTTTGATGTAGTTACCAGGTGACCAATTCTACTCTTAAGTAACAAGACATGAAAGAGAAATGAAAACGTGTCCACACAAAAACTAGTACACAAATGTTCATAATAGCAAAAAGTGAAAACAAACCAAATGTTAACCACCCGATGAGTGGATAAATCAGTGTGGCGCATCAATGAAATAGCAATAAAAAAGAGTGAAGTACTGATTCATGCTATATAACATTGATGAACTTAAAACTTTATGCTAAGTGAAAAATGCCACATGCCAATGGCCACATAGCATATGATTCCATTTTTTAATGAAATGTCCAGAATAGTCAAATCTAGAGACAAATTAATGCTTTTCTAGGGGTAGGGGCAAGGGAGGAACTGCTGATGGATATGGGGTTTCTTTTTGGATGATGAAAGTCTTCTAATATTGATTGTACTTTTGGTTACACAACTATAAGCATTCTAAAAACCATTGAATAGTGTATTTTGAATGAGTGGGTCATGTGATACATGAATTATATTTCAATAAAGCTGTTATAAACAGTCAAAAAAAACCACATTCTACTTAGTTTTGCTGAAACCTCAAACTACTTAACTCTTATTTTATGTGCTGACAGCATCCCAACAAATGACCCTTTAAATCCTAACTATTCAGACTTTGTTCCAGATGCTTGTAGAAGAGCAAGCTTTTTAATCAGTAAGGAAAGTGATTCACTGTTGTTGTGAAGCAGGTTTTTGGAAGGAACTGGGTCACCACCAGGAAGCTGATTCCAAGATTCCCAAGTGCTTCTGGCTGAGGCCTTCAGATTTTATTTGAAACAGATTCTCAGAGTATCAAACACACCTTTATTCAAGTGGAAGTACAAAAGCACATTCTTAAACCAAATGTATACATGTGAATTTTACATACTCTGCTATTTAGGTACTACTTAATCCTCTTGTGTCGTAATCACTGGAGGTGACTATTGTTGTCTGTATGTAAGGTATACACATTCATAGACAGGGGAAAAAAACATGCAGTTTCATTTGCTTTTTTATTTAGATCTCTCTTTCCCTGATGAGATCCTATGCTTGCTGATGGCTAAGAGGTAAAATATAGTGGTAAAACTATCCTAGAGGTTAGCCATAAGAGGCTTATAAAGTGAGCAGTAAATATTTATATACTTGCTGAGGATCCCTAATGAATATTGTTTAACATCTGAACTATGAAGGCCTCAATTGCTGGAATGAAAACTAGAATTTCAACACTTGTCTTATTCACAAAATGTTATGAAGCTTAAGATGGAAAAATATAATGAAAGTCTTTGACACCATCTAAAGAATTGTGAACTCTTGCTAAGTGTTATGATGGTAACCCTAAACCCTGGAGCCAAAATCTGTGATCACTTTATCAATCAAAAAACCATGTTCTTCTATATGCCTCTACACTCTAGTAAAAATACAAACTATGTGATGAGTAAACAATTATACACAAAGCTCCCACATTTCAAATACTGTCCTGGATCAATGAGGGGAAACTGGGGGTGGAAATCCAAACAGATAATGAAGCGATCATATGGTTAAAATTTTACCAGGAACAGACCTGCCACTCTTGAAATACTCTATATAGAGATACTACATAAGAACAGCAATATATTTGTTGAAAAGTTGCATTGCCTTACAAACTTTGATTGTTAAGTGTATGTTCTCTGTGTTTTGCCCTATCAAAGGCAGACCTGAGCATTTTGCAGATAACTCTAAATTCTCACATGCAAATAGGTACTGAATGAAATGTAGCTGGGCCAGCAGAATTCTGGCTGGCTCTCTGATGTCCTCATCACCTCTTTTAGAAAGGGCTGTGGATGCAGACAAGGCAGCTAAGAACTTTGGCGTTACTTGAAAATGCTTGCTGCCTGCCACACACTCGGGAGACAGGATCATTCATATTCACGGATGGACAGGATGTGGAAATCCAGTTCTTTTAAAGGAAGATGCATCACTTAGGGAAGACACCAGAACAGCAACACCAAGGAGGGACAGCACACCTGCTGGTGAAAAGCTTAAACCTAAGAAACCATAGTTCGAATGTGCCTCGTAAATGGAGAACTCAACAGGAACCCATGTGCTGTGGCTGGAAAGGAATAGTAAGGTCCTCAGGAAAAAGCAGGCCTCAGAGTCTGTTTTGGAGAGAACTTAGGCCACGAACAGCAAAAACGCTAATGAGCTATTTTTAGAAGTTGGTATGTTTTAACACTGGTGTATAAGTGTACCTTAGGGAAGCTGTGAACAACAAAAATCAATTCCAGGAAATATAAAAATGTTTATAGGCCACACTGAAATAGAAATAGCTGAAATGAGTTTCTTACCTACTTAAGATACCTTTTACATTAATAAAAGAGTGCCATGAGAAAACAGCACTGTGCTCTCCAAGCCACTCCTCAGACTAGTTTCTTCTGTAATAACAATGTCATATGCAAATAATCAATTTTCCCTCCAGTATTTTGACGCTGAGTAAGTCTGAAATATGGCAGTAAACCATTCCATTTGCATTGTCACATTCTGGCCTGGTGTGGTCACTCTGATGATGTTCAAAGACTTGAACTCCACTGAAAGATCGGTCACATTCACTACACGCATATGACTTCTCTTGACCATGGGTTCTCTGATGCTGAATGAAGATTGGAATATAAAAGACTCTTCCCCCATGCATACACATTTATTACATTCATAGGCTTTCTGCATGAAATGAATTTGATGCTGAACAAGGTAGTTTGTTTGAAGGCTTTGCACATTCATTAGTGATATAATTTTATTCCAGTATGAATTCTCCAAGAGTGACTAAAGTAAGAAAATAGCCTAAACATTTACCACATTCAGTAGTCTCAGGTTTTCTCAATGGCATGGGTTCAAAGGCGTCAATTAAAGAGTTTAACACTAAAAGCTTCCCTACATTCATCACATTCAGAGGGTTTTTCTCTGTGTAGATTCTCTGATGCCGAATAAAGGATAAGCTATAACTGAAGGCTTTACTATTTGGTACGTGAATGATTTCTCCCTGGTGTGAACTCTCAGATGTTGAATGAGGCCTGAACTTGACTGAATGTCTTCGCACGTTCATCGCATTCATAAGGTTTCTCTTTGGTATAAATTCTCGGATGCTGAACAATGTGTGATCTCTGACTGAGATTCTTTTCCCAAGCATCACAATCAAAGGCTTTTTCTCTAGTGAGGACTTCTTGTTGCAGGACGAGGTCTGAGCTGTACCTGAAACTTTCCTCATAATCATTACACTCATAGGATTTCTCTTTCCTGTGAATTTTGTGGTGTTGAATAAGGCATGAGGTTTGACTGAAAGCTTTTCCACATTCATTACATTCATGTGGTTTCTCTACTGTGTGAATTCTTTGATGCTGAATAAGATGGGAATTCAATCTGAAGTCTTTTCCACATTCATTACATGTATAGGGCTTTTCTCTGAGATGAACTCCTTGATGTTTAAGGAAGGTCAGCCCACATTCACTGTATTCATAGGCTTTCTCTTCACAGTGGACCTTCTGATGCTTGCCTGGGTATGAGGTAGGACAGACATCACTGCCACGTCCAGTACAGTTACAGGGCATCTCTCTGTGAATTCTCTGATGCTGAGTAAGGTGTACACTACGACTGAAAACTCTTTCACAATTGCTACATTTATAAGACTTGGCTCTAGCATGAATCCTCTTACGCTGAATTATGTCTGAGCTCTGACTACAGGATTTATCAGATGCTTCACAGGATTTATCAGATGTTTCACATTTATAGGGTTTTTCTCTAGTGTGTATTCTTTTATGTCGACTAAGACTTGAGCTCTGACTGAAAGATTTTTCACATTCTTTACATTTGTAGGGTTTGTTTCTAGTATGAATTCTCTGATGTCTAGAGAGAGCTGAGCTATGATAGAAGATTTTCTCACATGCATCACATTTATAGGATTTCTCAGTGGTGGGAATGCTCTCACATTTACTAAGGTGGGAGAGATCCATTAAGCTTTCCTTATATTCAGTATTCTGAAAATCCTGCATTAGGTTTTGTTCATGTCTACCACCAGCTGAATTTTGGTTTAGGCTCATGTCACACTTATCAGTGTCATCGATATTCTGTATTCTAAGAACTCGCTGATCTGTATCAAGGGTAGAGTCCAGACTGAAGCTTTTTTCAGGTTCATTGCATTCACTGTTATTCTCACTGGTGAAGGTTTTCTTGCTGATTGTTATTTGCCTAAACTCTCTCTCCAAGAAGAGAAATTTCCTTAGGATTTCCTGAAGCCTATCTAATCTGTCCTCAGGTTTATATACTTCTCTAGTCTCAGGAGCTTGGACAATATCCTTTTTGAGTCTTCCTACTCTCACTCTGTATGAATGTACTTCTTCCGAAATTTTCTGCTTAGGAATCAACAGCTTGTTCTCTTCTCTGGTCTCTCCATCTGATTCAATATATAAATAGAAAATGCAAATATAATGTGTACCCTGTGCTTAGAAAAAGAAAACTCAGAGAGAAAACTAAATAATCTAGTATTTACCAGGATGAGAGAAGTTTATTTACTCTGAAACTCAGGCACAAAATCTCAACAGCAGGTATAAGGGCATGAACAAAAGCAGTAAAGCAGGACCCAAATGGTACAGAGTGTGGCAGAAACAGAGGGTATATCAGCAGAATAAGATGACAGCCAATTAAGGTTTTTCAAAGGAGATAATAGGGAAATAGTTCAGAAAATTATAGCAACTTGAACAGGGACCTAGTACCACTTGTGGATGACAAGGGACAAAATAAATGCAAAAAAATGAAGGGAAAAGGAAAGAACTCTCCATTCTGGGATATAGACAGCTCTTTATTCTGACAGCTACAGCAGCTACAACTCAGCTGACAACTGGACTTTACTTCCCTACTAATTCCATTTGATTGATCTACCTTACTCACCTGAGCAGTCATCTCTTAAGACTTCTCTATTCTGAGTTTCCAGATCAGAGACTTGTAGATGTTGCTCCAGCTGGGAGATCCCATCAGGCTTGGAAATTGGAAACCCTGCTCACAGAGAAGGAAATGGGATGTGGCGATTTATCCTGGATACTACACCATCCACTTATTCTTTTAGCTAATGCTTAATGGAGAGAGGAAGTAAATTTTTAGGAGACATTAGGAACTCCTGGAGAGTGAAGAGGGCAAAGATCTTCTATGAGGAGGTCATATTTGTCCTCCAGAAAGAGGTGTGTTAAAGGGCAACTTGATGACTTTTGGAAGAAGTATTCATTTAAACATTACCTGGACAAAGGGATTTGTGCATGGGTCTGTACCTGTCCCTGTCTTCATAGGAATTATTATTGTCAATCTTCATCTGTTCAATCTTTGTATTAGACCTGATCTACAAAAATCAGACCTTGTCGAAATTGAGGTTATCAAAATAAAACTGCTGGACAGGAGAAAGGTGAATACTCAAGCACCTGTCTACAGTGAGCTAAACTACAGCAACCTAACCAGTTGAGACTGAATAAATATTCCAAGGACCAACCTCAAGAAACAATTCATTTCAAGGACCAACATGAAGAAACAAAGAGTAATATGACACATCCTTACCCATTAGGTGCTTATAATTTTTATTTATTCAACAGACATTTATGGGGTACCTCCTGTATGCAAAGTATAAGGGGATAAAGAGCCCAAGCAGATAAAGTCCATCTCCTCAAGGACTTTACACGCTTAACTGCAGAGACAGATATAACAACAAATTATGTGATATAGTGAGGAAAGTGCATTGAAAATGCATCTTTACATAAAACAGCTTTCACTGGCTTGCATAATGGACTGCTAGGGTCTAATCTCTTTCAAAGGAAAAGTAAGAGGCACTCGGCTTCTAAGGGAGCAGAGCTATTACAGAATCAAAAGGGCAGTGTTTATACATATTCATCCAGAAAGCTTCTAGTAGCACACATACAAGGTCTAGCTCAAGCACCTTGCCTACAAAAGTCCTTTTCTCCACTTACCAAATACCTACAAGATTTACTTTGTTCCCTGTATTATGACATGTCAATATAAACAGAGTCTGTAAATTTTTTAAAACTGATAGCAGTATTACCATCCCTACTTGACTTATAAACTCTTTGATAGCAGAGACTATGTATTTTACATCTTTCACTTTTTATTTTCTTACTTAAGCGCTACATGGAGTGCCAATTTTGTGCCCAAGTGTCAACATATAATAGCCAGTGTTTCAAAGAGGACACTGGGCCTGAAAAGTATTTTGATAAACCAACAGTGCCGTCTTGGGATTCCACGTAAGAGCCCATGAGCAGGGAGATCAGAACAGATATAAGAAAGGCATTTACTGTGTTTCTGAATTCCTGCTGAGCATCAAGATTTGATTCTCCTTTTGGACACTTACTTAGTTAAGGTCCTCCATAGCAAATGGAATAGTTTTGCAAGTTAAAAACAAAGTTAGTGTGGCATGGAGCAGCAACTATACTGCTCAGAGTTCTGGTAACACAATTTGCAACTTTTAACAGAGTTATTTATTAAAGTGTTTCTATTTGATAACTTAAACAAATTTTGGTTATTTACTCTGAATCTATACTTAAATCACATATGTACAACAAAAAAGATCATTTTCATGTGGGATGACGAGTTTGATTTTAGACTTATGTTGAAGGTTATGTAGAACAGTGTAAGAGAACATGACTAGAGCAGGCAGGTAGAGATATAAGGCTACAGTTTAGAAAAGAGAACAGGGTTTAAGATTTTGACTTAAAGTCATCTGTATCATCAAAATAGTAAGTAAGCTAAGGTTTATTAAGCATTTGGTAGGTGCAAAGTACCATGCAAGGTGCTTTATGGACTCTCAGTCACCCAATACTCACCACAATTTTATGAGGTAGGAGCTCTTAATATAGCCATTTTACAAATACCCATTTAAGATTCAGAGAGGTTAAGTAACTTCCCTAAGATCATAATAACTGGTGAAGCTGCGGCTCAAATCCAAACAGTCTTATTTTAGAAGCTGGCTTTTAAATACTCAACTAGTAAAAAGTAATGATGAGGAATGAAATCCATCCCTTCCTCCACAATCTATACAGAAAGAGAACAGAAGAACAACACACAATGGAGCTCCAACAGACAATGGAGCAAAAGGTGAGAATAATAAAAAGAACTGAAATAGTGATTAGAACAATACCTGGATAGCTAGGATCCAAAAGGTTTGGAGTATGTACGTTTTAATTAAAAGGGATCTATGAGATTATTTAGTGTTAAACTAATGAAATCTCTTTATAATAAAAATCCAAACCCCTAAGCAACAATCTGAGCAATATTCAATTTATGGAAAGTCCACTATAAAGAAATAATTTCAATGCTCTTTTGAAATATTTGTATTTAAAAAATTGGTCTATAGCTCATATCACTTGCTGTCTTTCAAAAAAAATATTTAACTACCATGAACCAAGTACTTTTATACATATATAAATATATATAAAATCTACTTATTTATATATTTTAAATTAGATTTATAAATATATATATAATTTTACACATATATGTATATGTGTGTGTGTACATATAATCTAATTTAATCCTAATTTAATCCTTGGCACAACCCAGAAAGGTAAACATAATTTTTCACATTTTATAGATGAAGAAAATGAAAGTCAATTTAAATAATTTGCTCAATGCATCACAGCTGGTTATGTGGAATCCAAGTCTGGTTCCAGTTTATTCTCTTTCCATCTATCATGCTAAGGGTCACAGAAAGCATTAAGGCAGGTTTTCTTGCAATTGGCCTAAATACCTTTACCCTAAATTTAAGTCAAAACTCCATGCTTTCAAAATATGCATTTGCTTTAAATTTTTCCTATCTAAAATTAATTTTTTTTAACTTTGTGACTTTTAAAGTGTAAACCTTGACAGTTTTCTAATTAGATTTTTAATTTAACCTGGTCTTTAAAAATAACATTAAAATTTTACCTCATTATTTGGTTTGTTGCCTGTACCAGTTTTGCTAACATTTTAGCCATCTGGAAGCTTCATGCCTTTCTTCCTGGTTCTCAATAAATATACAAATAAAATCTCTCCTTAGTAATACTGTTCTTGTGTATATATCTCTAATAATGGAATGAACCCCTATACAATATTACTTCTTAATGCATGTCCTTTTTGCTCCCAAACTGTACCTTATGCCTATCTGTCCAATTTGTCATGGCCATTTTTAATTGTCATCAAAGTACAGAGCCATAAGAATATAAAAACACCATTATGTGGCTGGACTAATTGTTCTAAGGCACAAAATACTGAAAGAGCATGGGCTTCAGAATCAGACCTGAGTCCCAAGCCTAGTTCTGACCCTGAGCAGATCACTTTTCTGAGCTTCGATTTCCTCAAATATAAAGTAGAATAACTACCTGCTCACAGAGTTACGTTAAGGATTAAATGAAATATATATAGAGCCTACTAACACACTGGATTCTCAAAAACTAGTACATAGCTGGGTAGTAAAAGACATTCTATACAAAATCATTGTTGTCCTAATCACATCAACTTCAAATAGCAAAGGGCATGGGGCAAAGATCCCTGATTTATCACCCCACTTATCAATTAGAATTTTGATAAGTATGTTTCTAATGCTATCATCTAACAGGGTACCTGCCAAACTGTGCCATAGGAAATGCAGTCTAGGCCTCTTTCCCAGTCTTAATCTCCAGCACCAAGTCACAGATAACTTCCCCCTGGGTATGACCATCAAGCCAGTAATTCACTCACTGTCAAAAGAATATGCTTCTTTTTAGATCTGATAATGAAATTTATGGCTTTTCACTTACTTTTTTTCTCTTTCATTAATCTATTCATACTTATTTATTACTATATAGGAAAACACTTAACTGAAGGACCAAAGTTCTGACGTCCAACAAATACCTCAGAGCTACTGCCATGGGAACAAGATGTGAACTGGGAAGTGGGGCCCCTAAGTCAGGGACTGAATTATAAAATCCTAATTTTACAACATTAAGCTAAGTTAATTAAGTATATCAACTTCAATTCCAGGTGGAGTCTGCTGAACCCACAAATATGAAAATGACTTCCCAAGGACAGTAAAAAATAATTACAAGGAGATGCTGCTGACTTGGTCACAGAAGTGAGTAGGAGGATTTCTTGTATGCATTCATATGTGGGACTGTGCATGTGTGTCCTGTGTATGTGCAGAGATGACAGAGGAAATGGGATAAAATTCAGTCTAATAGCATGCTGTGCTATTAGGCTGATTAAACTGGTAAGAAGTTTCTTTACTACAAAAAGTAGACAGGTTAACTGTTGGAAATTATGTAATTAATAGATAATTAACAGTAGTTTACAATTACATATCACTTAGAGTTTACAAAGTTGTTAAATATACATCCAATTTGATAACCTGAAAATAAGGAAATTTAACTCTTTTGCCCTCCCATTTCCCCTCCATCAAGGGAAAAGCTAAAGAACACTTGATCAGAAGAGGTCGTATCAATGCATCAATCTGTATAGCTCCACAAAGAATAAAGGGGATGAAGGCAGGACCTTTGAGGGGAACACACGGACTTAAAGAAGATGAGAGTGTTAAGTATGAAGAAAGCCCAGGGGTTGCAGGAGAGTTGGGCAACAGAACAGGCAGGTTATGTTCACAACAGAAAAGGAGGGGTGCACAGTGTATTCCACATTCCAAAACAACACGAAAAGATCATAACTGAAGAGCTGGAGTTGAACTTTGTGGTTTCTCCGAACACAAGTAGATGACCACCAACTGTGGCTTCTGAACGAACCCAGAACCCAGGGTTCAAAATGCATCTGGTGGCAACAGAGGGGTTCCTTGGCCTTTTAGAAATTTAACAAAGGTCACTTGAGGAGCTGCAATTTTACACAGTGGTGACATCCTGGGGAGCATCTGTTCCGTCAATCAAATGTAATTAGTATCTTACAATCTTGGAAAAGGAGTTTCCGAGCGGGGACGAGCAATATCGATGGGAAGCCGATACTTGGGCCATCTCTTGGAGATTCCTGCTGAAAGGACTGCAAGTGTTTCTCCAGAGAAAGCACTTGCCTGGGTATGACTCAGGGCCGGGCAGGAATTCACACTATGAATCCGGGTGGTGGGAAGGCGGAGAAGTATGCCTACAAAGATCAAAGAGCCAGGAATGGAAAATACACTAAAAACCTTCCCNGGATATGGGGTTTCTTTTTGGATGATGAAAGTCTTCTAATATTGATTGTACTTTTGGTTACACAACTATAAGCATTCTAAAAACCATTGAATAGTGTATTTTGAATGAGTGGGTCATGTGATACATGAATTATATTTCAATAAAGCTGTTATAAACAGTCAAAAAAAACCACATTCTACTTAGTTTTGCTGAAACCTCAAACTACTTAACTCTTATTTTATGTGCTGACAGCATCCCAACAAATGACCCTTTAAATCCTAACTATTCAGACTTTGTTCCAGATGCTTGTAGAAGAGCAAGCTTTTTAATCAGTAAGGAAAGTGATTCACTGTTGTTGTGAAGCAGGTTTTTGGAAGGAACTGGGTCACCACCAGGAAGCTGATTCCAAGATTCCCAAGTGCTTCTGGCTGAGGCCTTCAGATTTTATTTGAAACAGATTCTCAGAGTATCAAACACACCTTTATTCAAGTGGAAGTACAAAAGCACATTCTTAAACCAAATGTATACATGTGAATTTTACATACTCTGCTATTTAGGTACTACTTAATCCTCTTGTGTCGTAATCACTGGAGGTGACTATTGTTGTCTGTATGTAAGGTATACACATTCATAGACAGGGGAAAAAAACATGCAGTTTCATTTGCTTTTTTATTTAGATCTCTCTTTCCCTGATGAGATCCTATGCTTGCTGATGGCTAAGAGGTAAAATATAGTGGTAAAACTATCCTAGAGGTTAGCCATAAGAGGCTTATAAAGTGAGCAGTAAATATTTATATACTTGCTGAGGATCCCTAATGAATATTGTTTAACATCTGAACTATGAAGGCCTCAATTGCTGGAATGAAAACTAGAATTTCAACACTTGTCTTATTCACAAAATGTTATGAAGCTTAAGATGGAAAAATATAATGAAAGTCTTTGACACCATCTAAAGAATTGTGAACTCTTGCTAAGTGTTATGATGGTAACCCTAAACCCTGGAGCCAAAATCTGTGATCACTTTATCAATCAAAAAACCATGTTCTTCTATATGCCTCTACACTCTAGTAAAAATACAAACTATGTGATGAGTAAACAATTATACACAAAGCTCCCACATTTCAAATACTGTCCTGGATCAATGAGGGGAAACTGGGGGTGGAAATCCAAACAGATAATGAAGCGATCATATGGTTAAAATTTTACCAGGAACAGACCTGCCACTCTTGAAATACTCTATATAGAGATACTACATAAGAACAGCAATATATTTGTTGAAAAGTTGCATTGCCTTACAAACTTTGATTGTTAAGTGTATGTTCTCTGTGTTTTGCCCTATCAAAGGCAGACCTGAGCATTTTGCAGATAACTCTAAATTCTCACATGCAAATAGGTACTGAATGAAATGTAGCTGGGCCAGCAGAATTCTGGCTGGCTCTCTGATGTCCTCATCACCTCTTTTAGAAAGGGCTGTGGATGCAGACAAGGCAGCTAAGAACTTTGGCGTTACTTGAAAATGCTTGCTGCCTGCCACACACTCGGGAGACAGGATCATTCATATTCACGGATGGACAGGATGTGGAAATCCAGTTCTTTTAAAGGAAGATGCATCACTTAGGGAAGACACCAGAACAGCAACACCAAGGAGGGACAGCACACCTGCTGGTGAAAAGCTTAAACCTAAGAAACCATAGTTCGAATGTGCCTCGTAAATGGAGAACTCAACAGGAACCCATGTGCTGTGGCTGGAAAGGAATAGTAAGGTCCTCAGGAAAAAGCAGGCCTCAGAGTCTGTTTTGGAGAGAACTTAGGCCACGAACAGCAAAAACGCTAATGAGCTATTTTTAGAAGTTGGTATGTTTTAACACTGGTGTATAAGTGTACCTTAGGGAAGCTGTGAACAACAAAAATCAATTCCAGGAAATATAAAAATGTTTATAGGCCACACTGAAATAGAAATAGCTGAAATGAGTTTCTTACCTACTTAAGATACCTTTTACATTAATAAAAGAGTGCCATGAGAAAACAGCACTGTGCTCTCCAAGCCACTCCTCAGACTAGTTTCTTCTGTAATAACAATGTCATATGCAAATAATCAATTTTCCCTCCAGTATTTTGACGCTGAGTAAGTCTGAAATATGGCAGTAAACCATTCCATTTGCATTGTCACATTCTGGCCTGGTGTGGTCACTCTGATGATGTTCAAAGACTTGAACTCCACTGAAAGATCGGTCACATTCACTACACGCATATGACTTCTCTTGACCATGGGTTCTCTGATGCTGAATGAAGATTGGAATATAAAAGACTCTTCCCCCATGCATACACATTTATTACATTCATAGGCTTTCTGCATGAAATGAATTTGATGCTGAACAAGGTAGTTTGTTTGAAGGCTTTGCACATTCATTAGTGATATAATTTTATTCCAGTATGAATTCTCCAAGAGTGACTAAAGTAAGAAAATAGCCTAAACATTTACCACATTCAGTAGTCTCAGGTTTTCTCAATGGCATGGGTTCAAAGGCGTCAATTAAAGAGTTTAACACTAAAAGCTTCCCTACATTCATCACATTCAGAGGGTTTTTCTCTGTGTAGATTCTCTGATGCCGAATAAAGGATAAGCTATAACTGAAGGCTTTACTATTTGGTACGTGAATGATTTCTCCCTGGTGTGAACTCTCAGATGTTGAATGAGGCCTGAACTTGACTGAATGTCTTCGCACGTTCATCGCATTCATAAGGTTTCTCTTTGGTATAAATTCTCGGATGCTGAACAATGTGTGATCTCTGACTGAGATTCTTTTCCCAAGCATCACAATCAAAGGCTTTTTCTCTAGTGAGGACTTCTTGTTGCAGGACGAGGTCTGAGCTGTACCTGAAACTTTCCTCATAATCATTACACTCATAGGATTTCTCTTTCCTGTGAATTTTGTGGTGTTGAATAAGGCATGAGGTTTGACTGAAAGCTTTTCCACATTCATTACATTCATGTGGTTTCTCTACTGTGTGAATTCTTTGATGCTGAATAAGATGGGAATTCAATCTGAAGTCTTTTCCACATTCATTACATGTATAGGGCTTTTCTCTGAGATGAACTCCTTGATGTTTAAGGAAGGTCAGCCCACATTCACTGTATTCATAGGCTTTCTCTTCACAGTGGACCTTCTGATGCTTGCCTGGGTATGAGGTAGGACAGACATCACTGCCACGTCCAGTACAGTTACAGGGCATCTCTCTGTGAATTCTCTGATGCTGAGTAAGGTGTACACTACGACTGAAAACTCTTTCACAATTGCTACATTTATAAGACTTGGCTCTAGCATGAATCCTCTTACGCTGAATTATGTCTGAGCTCTGACTACAGGATTTATCAGATGCTTCACAGGATTTATCAGATGTTTCACATTTATAGGGTTTTTCTCTAGTGTGTATTCTTTTATGTCGACTAAGACTTGAGCTCTGACTGAAAGATTTTTCACATTCTTTACATTTGTAGGGTTTGTTTCTAGTATGAATTCTCTGATGTCTAGAGAGAGCTGAGCTATGATAGAAGATTTTCTCACATGCATCACATTTATAGGATTTCTCAGTGGTGGGAATGCTCTCACATTTACTAAGGTGGGAGAGATCCATTAAGCTTTCCTTATATTCAGTATTCTGAAAATCCTGCATTAGGTTTTGTTCATGTCTACCACCAGCTGAATTTTGGTTTAGGCTCATGTCACACTTATCAGTGTCATCGATATTCTGTATTCTAAGAACTCGCTGATCTGTATCAAGGGTAGAGTCCAGACTGAAGCTTTTTTCAGGTTCATTGCATTCACTGTTATTCTCACTGGTGAAGGTTTTCTTGCTGATTGTTATTTGCCTAAACTCTCTCTCCAAGAAGAGAAATTTCCTTAGGATTTCCTGAAGCCTATCTAATCTGTCCTCAGGTTTATATACTTCTCTAGTCTCAGGAGCTTGGACAATATCCTTTTTGAGTCTTCCTACTCTCACTCTGTATGAATGTACTTCTTCCGAAATTTTCTGCTTAGGAATCAACAGCTTGTTCTCTTCTCTGGTCTCTCCATCTGATTCAATATATAAATAGAAAATGCAAATATAATGTGTACCCTGTGCTTAGAAAAAGAAAACTCAGAGAGAAAACTAAATAATCTAGTATTTACCAGGATGAGAGAAGTTTATTTACTCTGAAACTCAGGCACAAAATCTCAACAGCAGGTATAAGGGCATGAACAAAAGCAGTAAAGCAGGACCCAAATGGTACAGAGTGTGGCAGAAACAGAGGGTATATCAGCAGAATAAGATGACAGCCAATTAAGGTTTTTCAAAGGAGATAATAGGGAAATAGTTCAGAAAATTATAGCAACTTGAACAGGGACCTAGTACCACTTGTGGATGACAAGGGACAAAATAAATGCAAAAAAATGAAGGGAAAAGGAAAGAACTCTCCATTCTGGGATATAGACAGCTCTTTATTCTGACAGCTACAGCAGCTACAACTCAGCTGACAACTGGACTTTACTTCCCTACTAATTCCATTTGATTGATCTACCTTACTCACCTGAGCAGTCATCTCTTAAGACTTCTCTATTCTGAGTTTCCAGATCAGAGACTTGTAGATGTTGCTCCAGCTGGGAGATCCCATCAGGCTTGGAAATTGGAAACCCTGCTCACAGAGAAGGAAATGGGATGTGGCGATTTATCCTGGATACTACACCATCCACTTATTCTTTTAGCTAATGCTTAATGGAGAGAGGAAGTAAATTTTTAGGAGACATTAGGAACTCCTGGAGAGTGAAGAGGGCAAAGATCTTCTATGAGGAGGTCATATTTGTCCTCCAGAAAGAGGTGTGTTAAAGGGCAACTTGATGACTTTTGGAAGAAGTATTCATTTAAACATTACCTGGACAAAGGGATTTGTGCATGGGTCTGTACCTGTCCCTGTCTTCATAGGAATTATTATTGTCAATCTTCATCTGTTCAATCTTTGTATTAGACCTGATCTACAAAAATCAGACCTTGTCGAAATTGAGGTTATCAAAATAAAACTGCTGGACAGGAGAAAGGTGAATACTCAAGCACCTGTCTACAGTGAGCTAAACTACAGCAACCTAACCAGTTGAGACTGAATAAATATTCCAAGGACCAACCTCAAGAAACAATTCATTTCAAGGACCAACATGAAGAAACAAAGAGTAATATGACACATCCTTACCCATTAGGTGCTTATAATTTTTATTTATTCAACAGACATTTATGGGGTACCTCCTGTATGCAAAGTATAAGGGGATAAAGAGCCCAAGCAGATAAAGTCCATCTCCTCAAGGACTTTACACGCTTAACTGCAGAGACAGATATAACAACAAATTATGTGATATAGTGAGGAAAGTGCATTGAAAATGCATCTTTACATAAAACAGCTTTCACTGGCTTGCATAATGGACTGCTAGGGTCTAATCTCTTTCAAAGGAAAAGTAAGAGGCACTCGGCTTCTAAGGGAGCAGAGCTATTACAGAATCAAAAGGGCAGTGTTTATACATATTCATCCAGAAAGCTTCTAGTAGCACACATACAAGGTCTAGCTCAAGCACCTTGCCTACAAAAGTCCTTTTCTCCACTTACCAAATACCTACAAGATTTACTTTGTTCCCTGTATTATGACATGTCAATATAAACAGAGTCTGTAAATTTTTTAAAACTGATAGCAGTATTACCATCCCTACTTGACTTATAAACTCTTTGATAGCAGAGACTATGTATTTTACATCTTTCACTTTTTATTTTCTTACTTAAGCGCTACATGGAGTGCCAATTTTGTGCCCAAGTGTCAACATATAATAGCCAGTGTTTCAAAGAGGACACTGGGCCTGAAAAGTATTTTGATAAACCAACAGTGCCGTCTTGGGATTCCACGTAAGAGCCCATGAGCAGGGAGATCAGAACAGATATAAGAAAGGCATTTACTGTGTTTCTGAATTCCTGCTGAGCATCAAGATTTGATTCTCCTTTTGGACACTTACTTAGTTAAGGTCCTCCATAGCAAATGGAATAGTTTTGCAAGTTAAAAACAAAGTTAGTGTGGCATGGAGCAGCAACTATACTGCTCAGAGTTCTGGTAACACAATTTGCAACTTTTAACAGAGTTATTTATTAAAGTGTTTCTATTTGATAACTTAAACAAATTTTGGTTATTTACTCTGAATCTATACTTAAATCACATATGTACAACAAAAAAGATCATTTTCATGTGGGATGACGAGTTTGATTTTAGACTTATGTTGAAGGTTATGTAGAACAGTGTAAGAGAACATGACTAGAGCAGGCAGGTAGAGATATAAGGCTACAGTTTAGAAAAGAGAACAGGGTTTAAGATTTTGACTTAAAGTCATCTGTATCATCAAAATAGTAAGTAAGCTAAGGTTTATTAAGCATTTGGTAGGTGCAAAGTACCATGCAAGGTGCTTTATGGACTCTCAGTCACCCAATACTCACCACAATTTTATGAGGTAGGAGCTCTTAATATAGCCATTTTACAAATACCCATTTAAGATTCAGAGAGGTTAAGTAACTTCCCTAAGATCATAATAACTGGTGAAGCTGCGGCTCAAATCCAAACAGTCTTATTTTAGAAGCTGGCTTTTAAATACTCAACTAGTAAAAAGTAATGATGAGGAATGAAATCCATCCCTTCCTCCACAATCTATACAGAAAGAGAACAGAAGAACAACACACAATGGAGCTCCAACAGACAATGGAGCAAAAGGTGAGAATAATAAAAAGAACTGAAATAGTGATTAGAACAATACCTGGATAGCTAGGATCCAAAAGGTTTGGAGTATGTACGTTTTAATTAAAAGGGATCTATGAGATTATTTAGTGTTAAACTAATGAAATCTCTTTATAATAAAAATCCAAACCCCTAAGCAACAATCTGAGCAATATTCAATTTATGGAAAGTCCACTATAAAGAAATAATTTCAATGCTCTTTTGAAATATTTGTATTTAAAAAATTGGTCTATAGCTCATATCACTTGCTGTCTTTCAAAAAAAATATTTAACTACCATGAACCAAGTACTTTTATACATATATAAATATATATAAAATCTACTTATTTATATATTTTAAATTAGATTTATAAATATATATATAATTTTACACATATATGTATATGTGTGTGTGTACATATAATCTAATTTAATCCTAATTTAATCCTTGGCACAACCCAGAAAGGTAAACATAATTTTTCACATTTTATAGATGAAGAAAATGAAAGTCAATTTAAATAATTTGCTCAATGCATCACAGCTGGTTATGTGGAATCCAAGTCTGGTTCCAGTTTATTCTCTTTCCATCTATCATGCTAAGGGTCACAGAAAGCATTAAGGCAGGTTTTCTTGCAATTGGCCTAAATACCTTTACCCTAAATTTAAGTCAAAACTCCATGCTTTCAAAATATGCATTTGCTTTAAATTTTTCCTATCTAAAATTAATTTTTTTTAACTTTGTGACTTTTAAAGTGTAAACCTTGACAGTTTTCTAATTAGATTTTTAATTTAACCTGGTCTTTAAAAATAACATTAAAATTTTACCTCATTATTTGGTTTGTTGCCTGTACCAGTTTTGCTAACATTTTAGCCATCTGGAAGCTTCATGCCTTTCTTCCTGGTTCTCAATAAATATACAAATAAAATCTCTCCTTAGTAATACTGTTCTTGTGTATATATCTCTAATAATGGAATGAACCCCTATACAATATTACTTCTTAATGCATGTCCTTTTTGCTCCCAAACTGTACCTTATGCCTATCTGTCCAATTTGTCATGGCCATTTTTAATTGTCATCAAAGTACAGAGCCATAAGAATATAAAAACACCATTATGTGGCTGGACTAATTGTTCTAAGGCACAAAATACTGAAAGAGCATGGGCTTCAGAATCAGACCTGAGTCCCAAGCCTAGTTCTGACCCTGAGCAGATCACTTTTCTGAGCTTCGATTTCCTCAAATATAAAGTAGAATAACTACCTGCTCACAGAGTTACGTTAAGGATTAAATGAAATATATATAGAGCCTACTAACACACTGGATTCTCAAAAACTAGTACATAGCTGGGTAGTAAAAGACATTCTATACAAAATCATTGTTGTCCTAATCACATCAACTTCAAATAGCAAAGGGCATGGGGCAAAGATCCCTGATTTATCACCCCACTTATCAATTAGAATTTTGATAAGTATGTTTCTAATGCTATCATCTAACAGGGTACCTGCCAAACTGTGCCATAGGAAATGCAGTCTAGGCCTCTTTCCCAGTCTTAATCTCCAGCACCAAGTCACAGATAACTTCCCCCTGGGTATGACCATCAAGCCAGTAATTCACTCACTGTCAAAAGAATATGCTTCTTTTTAGATCTGATAATGAAATTTATGGCTTTTCACTTACTTTTTTTCTCTTTCATTAATCTATTCATACTTATTTATTACTATATAGGAAAACACTTAACTGAAGGACCAAAGTTCTGACGTCCAACAAATACCTCAGAGCTACTGCCATGGGAACAAGATGTGAACTGGGAAGTGGGGCCCCTAAGTCAGGGACTGAATTATAAAATCCTAATTTTACAACATTAAGCTAAGTTAATTAAGTATATCAACTTCAATTCCAGGTGGAGTCTGCTGAACCCACAAATATGAAAATGACTTCCCAAGGACAGTAAAAAATAATTACAAGGAGATGCTGCTGACTTGGTCACAGAAGTGAGTAGGAGGATTTCTTGTATGCATTCATATGTGGGACTGTGCATGTGTGTCCTGTGTATGTGCAGAGATGACAGAGGAAATGGGATAAAATTCAGTCTAATAGCATGCTGTGCTATTAGGCTGATTAAACTGGTAAGAAGTTTCTTTACTACAAAAAGTAGACAGGTTAACTGTTGGAAATTATGTAATTAATAGATAATTAACAGTAGTTTACAATTACATATCACTTAGAGTTTACAAAGTTGTTAAATATACATCCAATTTGATAACCTGAAAATAAGGAAATTTAACTCTTTTGCCCTCCCATTTCCCCTCCATCAAGGGAAAAGCTAAAGAACACTTGATCAGAAGAGGTCGTATCAATGCATCAATCTGTATAGCTCCACAAAGAATAAAGGGGATGAAGGCAGGACCTTTGAGGGGAACACACGGACTTAAAGAAGATGAGAGTGTTAAGTATGAAGAAAGCCCAGGGGTTGCAGGAGAGTTGGGCAACAGAACAGGCAGGTTATGTTCACAACAGAAAAGGAGGGGTGCACAGTGTATTCCACATTCCAAAACAACACGAAAAGATCATAACTGAAGAGCTGGAGTTGAACTTTGTGGTTTCTCCGAACACAAGTAGATGACCACCAACTGTGGCTTCTGAACGAACCCAGAACCCAGGGTTCAAAATGCATCTGGTGGCAACAGAGGGGTTCCTTGGCCTTTTAGAAATTTAACAAAGGTCACTTGAGGAGCTGCAATTTTACACAGTGGTGACATCCTGGGGAGCATCTGTTCCGTCAATCAAATGTAATTAGTATCTTACAATCTTGGAAAAGGAGTTTCCGAGCGGGGACGAGCAATATCGATGGGAAGCCGATACTTGGGCCATCTCTTGGAGATTCCTGCTGAAAGGACTGCAAGTGTTTCTCCAGAGAAAGCACTTGCCTGGGTATGACTCAGGGCCGGGCAGGAATTCACACTATGAATCCGGGTGGTGGGAAGGCGGAGAAGTATGCCTACAAAGATCAAAGAGCCAGGAATGGAAAATACACTAAAAACCTTCCCAGTGGGCAGCTGCCTCCCCATAGGTAAGACCTTTAAATCCTAAATGTAATCAAAGAGCCAAAGCAACATCTTGGATGCCTCCAGCATAGGCAAAGCAAAAGGAGAGAGAGAGAAAAGAAAAAGTGTGATTAAATACGCACATACATAAAAACAAAATAACAGAAGCAGAGACAGGCCAAAACAGAAAGAGGAAAAGGAGCAATGCTCACATCAAGGGGGCTGCCAACAACCCCACTGAAGTTCTGTATGGCACTACAGGCTGCCTAATCTCAGCTGCCTCGGGTACCACCCAAAGACAAAGGAGAGTGTTTCAGTCTGAGACTTCTCCTGTTGAGGGTGAGGTTACTTAGGATTTACCATCTGGGTGACTCACTCAAATGTACTCACAATGAGTCATGCCTTTAAACAAAGCCTCTCCAATTCTGCCTGCTTAGAGATGAATTTAAGGAAGGTAAAGGATTATTCAACAAGAAATATTTTAGCCTATCTTTAATGCCTAAAAAAGGCATTTTTTCTTCCAGTGAAAATCGGGAAGTCTCAGACACAGGGGCACTGATATACCAGGAAGGAAAGGGTCTGATTGCAGGTTGGGAGGTCCTAGTCTTTCTCATAAAAAGGGAAAAGGGAAGGTGAGAACTTAGGCAAAGCACAAGCAAGTTTCCTTTTCTAACAGGGAACAGATGTCCCACAAAAGCAGGAAACATCAGCTGAGGATAAGAGGTAGAATATCTCATCTCAAAACCCCCAGAGGAAACCCACTACCAGAGGAGATGATCTTAAAGATGGAGGATTCAGAGATTCTAAGACCTGGAATCTGAACCACACTCTACTTTTTCAGACCACACACCTACTCAGAAACAAGGAAGGTGTTCAATATCCTATTGGGTAAACTGAATAAGAAGAAAGATAGTCCTTACCCAGTGAGACCACGTTCCCATAATTCTCTAACATGACTTCTCTGTAGAGATCCCTCTGAACAGGGTCCAGGCATCCCCATTCCTCTCGAGTAAGGTGCACAGCCACATCCTCGAATGTCACAAACTCCTGAAATAACACAGCCTGGCTGCCCCGGGGAATGAAGCCACTATTGCATCAGGGACAGAGAATGAAGGAGATGACAGAGAGGGTCACCGGTGTGTATTTATGTTGGGGAGGAGGGAGAACCGATTCAAATCTAGGGATTACGTTTCACAACCCTTTCACATCTAATAAATGCCCATCACAACACCAGGGATGAAGAAAGAACAGTGTTTGCTGGTGGTGCTGGGAAGATGGGGAGGTGGTTTATGTGAGGTCCAGATCTCTGAAGAGAATCAGTTCTCAAACTGGGATCTACTATTGAAAAAAAATTCCAGGTGAGGTTTACAGATGGGATGAGGGAAGGGTCACACTCAATTAGCAGCAACAATCCCTGAGGAAAAGCAGAGGGTTCCTCAGCTCACCTGGTACCTGGCTGTCAGGAGCGCAGCCGCCTGGTCTCCTGGGCTTCCCTCATGGGGAAGAGCAGGCACCTGGGGAACAGGTGGTGCTGAGGGAGGAGAAAGGAGCCAAGAGTGAGAGCAGCCCTTCCCCAGGGCTCCCTTACATAAGAGGGAGTCAGCAGGACCCTTCTTTGCATCGACCTTCTAGTAAAGCCAGTGGATGTTTATCAGATATTGAGTGTGTCTACTCTGATCCTTCTCAGCACTTGCATGCCTTTCCTGCATATGTGTAGACCCCTGACAGAGACATGAAATCTCTTATTTCATTTTATTCTCATGGCATGACATTCCTCTAACATAACAGGAAGCATTCCACCTATTTTGCAGACGGGCAAAGCAAAGCATAAAGACTTGCAGTGACTTGTCCAGGGCCATGGTTATTTAGTACACTTCTGACTTTCCCAGACACTGCTCCTCAAACTTCATTAAACCTTTCTCGTGTGAATGGGCACTGTCTCTGCAACCAGTGTGTAAGGCCCCCAAGAATAAGGAAGACTCATCTTTTTCCTCGCCATCCTTTCCATGCTCCCACCACACCCCACAGCACTCACACACTGGGGCACTCAATCCGTGTTGCTGACACAAGTTATTTCAGGCACAGCAGTTGGCCACAAGTCATCTAAGACAAAGTTCTTACAAAACAAAGGGTCCAAGATCAACCTGTCTCTACAATACATAAAAATGTTTTAATGTAGTTAGTATCATATGTATATATTCATATAGGTGTTGTGCTCAAGCATTAAATGGTTGCTTTCTTGACCAAAATTAGATTAGTCACAAACACTGCAGCTGCAACAGAAAGGTAGGTGGCGAAGCATGCAAGGTCATCAAGGAAGGAAAAAAACTAAGTGAGGGGAATGGGGGCAGAGACAGGCCCTAAATCTAAGAGGAAGTGAAAGTGAAGCAAGGACTGTGAATGAGACAAAGCAGCACGTTTTAGAAATTATTCTGGATGCAGTAACTGGGATAGAGTGAAGGTTGTATGAATGAAAAACAGGCAGAGCATAGTGAGTGACTATCATTCCACCCACTAAAGAAAAACTGACTTTCCTCAATAGAGGGGCTCAGATCAGGACTGAACTGAGTCCTATCTGTCCCTTCCTGCCAAACCTCCCTCTAGGAATCTTCTTTTTGGGGTTCCTGGCTTCTCTTATACCAAACCCAAGAGTCCCTCTACATCCCCTTCTCCTCGATGTAAGTGCTCTCTGCCTTACCCCCAGTGAATCCCTGTTCCATGTCGGCATCCTGCACGAACTGAGGCTCTGGGGACAGACTCTCAGACTGGGTCTCCAGTGACTGAAACTGGACCCTTGGTGATCCTTCTGCTTCCTGGGTCGGTATTTCCTCCATTCCTGTTCTGAAGGACAATGACCATCACTGTGAGGTGAGATTAGGAAAAATCACTGTAATAAATGAAAGCTGCCCATCATTTTATATCCTCAGGAATTAACAAAGTATCTTACACACTATAGATACCCAATAAAAACAGTTGATAGTGATTACCTACCTAAATGAAACACGAAGAAAAATAGGTATTATTCAGTTTCAAATATTTAACAACCTAATCATATGGTCCAAGAACGCAGGCTTATTTAAATTCACCAAATCAGAATATGTGGTATTTAAAAAAAAAAAATCAAAGCACAATTTAATTGTGTAAAGATTTCTGTGGAAAGTCTGAATAGTTGAAATTTACAACTTCGTTCAAGGCTCAACTCAGTACCCAGAAAAATATGCTGGCTACGATTATTCTTTTTTTTTTTTTTTTAAAGCAGGCCGCTTAGGAATTACTTGCTAAACATTGTCAGCCCACTCTGAATTACTGAATAGGCTTGACTAAGAACAAAATGCCACTTTTGCGGTCGGGCCCTCCGCTATCGCAGACTAGGTGGGCAGGCCTTTTCCCAGAATCCTGACAGTAAGCCAGGGAAGAGCTGCGCCTCAAACAGGTCTGACTGGTGTCCTTCAAACCCAAGGGCGAGACCGGGCTCCGTCCCCCTTCCACAGCCCTCAGAAAGGGCCCCGGCGCCCGGTCTTCAGAAGGCCTCGCCCGGCGCTGCCCTCCTCCCACTTCCCTGAGGTGAACGCGCGTCCCTAAAGGGCGAGGCGGGCCACAGAAGGCCAGCTCACAGCAGCCCGGTCACCGGGTTCTGACGGCGGGGCCCTCAGTCCGCGGGGCATCGGGGCGAACCCTGACTGAAGAGAAACAGGCCCTGGTACTGCGGGCCCCCGTCCCGCCGTCCCCCGGAGCTCGGGGACGCCTCCTCCTCTTCCCCGAGAAGCTACACAAGGGACCGCAGCCACCACGACCCCAGGACGGCTTCCGGGGACTCACCCGAGGCAAGGGGCGGGCCAAGCGGCCGTCCCGTCGCGGACACCCTAGCTCGCGGGCCGCCCCAGCCTTTCGAGCGCCGCTCTAGACCTCTTGGAGGCCAGCGCATCTCGGTGGCACTTCCGGAGGCGGAGTCCGATGAGAGCCCTGAGGGAGCCGCCGAGGTTTGCTGGAGTAAGTTCCTTATGTCCTTCTGGCTTCGCCGCGCTCCCTGCTACCCCCGCTGGCCTTTCCGTAGCTCCTGCCAATCCTCGAGACTCCCCGCGGGGTGGTGGCAGCCCACATGGGCGGCGAGGAGGAATGGCAGACCTAGTGGTCCGACTTCCATGAGCCCTCAAGTCAAGAACAGCACAGGGGTACAAAACATACTGATTAGAGTGAGGATTGAAGAAGCTACGGTGATATGAGGACCACAAAATCTTAAGAGAAGGAGGGGCCATTGAGTAAGCTGGAGGGGAAGAGAAAACTGCGTTCCTGGTGGGAAAACTGGACTGTGCAGAAACAGAGATAAAGCACGGAGCTCGTGGACCGGCGGGCTGAGCGCTGGAACAGAACCCCTTAGGGCATATGACCTCCTGGCTGCAACATTTACAGTTAAATACAAGAAAAGTCAAAAGAGTGACATTGATATGCTTTTTCAAACTACATCAGCCTCTTGATGGTTCCTTCCCTTTCCACCTTGAGTATCACTGATCTAATGCAACTTCCTACTATGACACAATCTAGTCAACAGTATCCCTATCAAGGTGGAGCCAGCATCACAGATAGGAAAAATACAGCTTAGTCAATTGCTTGGACAGGTCCAGTTAGAAACTTTGTCTTGCCTTGAACAAAAATATACCCCCAGGTGATGTCTATTGCTCCTGTTGAGATCCCAGGGACAATATATGGCATATTACTTCCTCCTTTTCAGTAACAGTTCTAGTATTGTAGGATAGCTAGAAGTTTAGGGTTCTTTCCTAAGTTGCTATTTCCCCACAAGTTGTACCTATTTGTAGAATGCTGCATTTTTGCAGCAGAGGTGAGCAAACTAAGGCAATGGTGCATTTGTGTCTAAGTTTTAGCTGACCCAGGCAGTTTGCTTCAGTCAGAGGAGCACAGGAGACACCCATTTAAGAATCCACTTCCCACCAATAAATATCAATCACTGACCAAAAGTAGTAAGAAAGAGTAGTTACTATTGTGCTGCTGAGCAAAATTTTCTACAGCTCTTCAGATGATACAGGTGGAAATTAATACTCACAAAATTTGTGATTATTAACACAAATTATATTGCTGTAAATAAAATGTATAAGCAAATATTCCCAAGGGACTGAGCACTTCATTAATCTTTCTCATATGCCCACCATTGTACCAGGCATGGATGGATAACAAAAGAAGTAAAATACCGTACCAGAATGATACATGCCCTGAACCTGGGCTTGTGTTCCCTGACTGCTCTACCTCCAACAGCACCATCATCTGAGAGTTTATGGAATGAATACCTTGTCCACTGGACATACCTTAAACCAAGGAACCCATTGCATGATCAAGGAGGTGTGACAGTGTACTCACAACCACAGAATTCATGGTGCTTACTCATCATCCCAAAGCAGCTAGCCTCATGGAACTGTGGGATGGCATGTTGAAGACCGTTAAATCACTGATACAAGATGCTGCACCTTAACAAAGTTGGGGAGCTGTCCTCCAAGTACAATATATACATTGATGTGCATTGAATCAAGATATGCATTGAACATATATAGTATTGTGTCTCTAATAGAAAAATGACATAGGTACAAGGACCAAGGGGTCAAAACAGAAGTGGTCCCTATTACTATCATACCCAGTAACCCACTTGTGAAATTGGTGTTTTCTATCTCCAAACCTAGAATCTGATGGATTATGGTCCTGATTCTCAAGAAAATTTCTTCTAGGAGGTACTTGAAGTGTTCCACAGAACTAGAAGCTGAAAATAGCACCAGGCCACTTCGGGTTCCTTGTGTCAGTAGATCAGTAGGCAAAGAATGGAAATATATATATATATGTTACCATAGTCCCTGCCATATTTTGACACTACATAAGTACAAAAACATACCTGGTCATCTGCATTCAATAACCTACCTTTCCTGGACCCTTTAGGCACTTTAACGTAGGAATGGAGGGTGGGGTAAAAGGAGAGGGCAAGTTTGGACAAAAAAATACAATGCATAACAATGTAATGGAACACTAGAAGGAAATATGAAGACGTGTCTAAAAGAAGTTCTGGGAATATGGTATCTTCTAGAAGGACCAGAGGTCAGCAAGCCAGCCAGTGATAAAGGAGCAAAGACCTACTCAAGTGGATTATTCAAGATTCCTGGGGACATAGAAAGACAAAACAATGGCAACTGCAGTAAGGTCAGAATTCACAAGGCATGGAACTTTACTTAGGGCTTTGAAGGTTACTCAGAGTATCACCTGATCCTCATTCTAGCCTCTGTAGCAGGTAACTGTTCCTTTTGTGGGCTTTCCATTTTTGTGTTTAAACTTGTCTCATAATTTAGAGCCATGTCACAGTCATTCAAGGTCTCAGTTACAGTTCTATAAAACATTAAGTTTCTTGATCTCATGAAGTAATGCTTTGTGATAACAATTTTTATAATTACTGTAATGACATTTGAAAGCAAAAATGCCTCAAATTCGAACTTACAATTCGTTATTGTCACTCTGAAAACTCCCTGGATATATTAGCCAAGCTTAGAATCACTATCGAGTATTGGAAAGAAAGTCTGCTGCCCAAAGATCGAATATATGAACATACTGCCCATTCAGGTAGCAATATATAATCAGCGTCCCCAGAGAAGCAACTCCCTCGTTTTTGTGAAACCATTCGTTATGGAGTTCACTTTGATCTTCCTCTGTCTAGGTTTGTTTCAGTTCCTCTGCCACAGACATACAATCACTAAATATTATTATTGTTTGGTAACAACTAGAATTATTACGATTACTGCCATCATCAAGAAAAAGTTGGAGAAACGTATAAGTATCTGAGCAGGTAGGAATCGAGGGAAACTTAACCTGCCTTTTCCTGGACAGGAAAGCTGAGCTGAGGAGAGATTTCCCCAAAACCGGACCCAGAGATTGCGGAACAAGGACGCAAAGTCCTCCCGCGCTCCTAGAGAGGACCCCGACGCCCGGGGGAAGGCGGGCGTGACGCACTTCCGGCTTCTGCAACACAAACAGGCATGCGCGCACACACTTATGTTGCAGGGTACTTGAGGGCTGTGGTGTTGGGTCCAGTCGCGCTGCCTTTCACTTCCCGGAGTCACTTCCGTTTTCTAGCCCAGCACCCCCAGACTTCTCCGGGGTTCTCGGTGAGACGTGGGTCCGGCTGGGGAGGACGGGCGGGGACCGATGTGTATGCGCACGGCTGTGTTACGCGACCCGCTTGCCAGCACCGCCCCCGAACAGGGTGGAGGAGGGCACATGTCGCCCCATCCTGCATCCCAGCCTAGGCCTTGGGGCCGTCTCCCTGCGGAGACATCCCTAGACCCAAGCGAGAAGGGAACAACGCTTTGGTTTCCCGAGTAGGACGAGATACCTCCGGGACCGGGAAGAGAGATTCTACGTGCCGCCCCCACCCCACCCCAAGGCCCTTTCGTCCTAGGTTTTTACCCGCCAAGGGGTCACGGACAAAATGACCCTCATGTAACTTGTATGCCCCTCGGTTGTCCCCATTTTTTAAGCAGACAAGTTTGTTAAGCCTATACTAGTGTTGGCAGATCATCTGTTCACACCAAAACCCACCACCATTAGTGGTGGTGATTAAACTTTGAAACCTAGGGAATAAAGTGATTTGGATACAGTACGAAAAGATTGCATGCACTTACCCCTTCTCAGTTTCTGAACTTTTTGAATGCTTTTTAAATGTATGGTTTCAGACATTAGGTGAATTTTTCAGTTGGCGGGGGTTGGGGGGGGCGGTGGTAACTGGCTTGGACCAGTGAGTAATGAAGGCAGTTTGTGGTGGTGCAATGGAAAGTGTGTCTGGCCATTACGAGACCAGTTGCCAGTGCTCTCTCTGCCACTGATTATCTGGATGATCTTGAACAAAACACCACAAAGTCTCCATTTTGTCCTAAGAAAAACTAAATTATCTCAAAGGGCCCTCGAATCTGGAACTTCATCAATAGAATGAATCTGAGAAAATTGCAATTAGGCCAAACCTAATACCCTGTCTCCATTTCCTGCAATGCCACTAGTGTGTAGAAAGATACTTTCATTATTGAGAGAGACCATTAAGAGGCACTGGACCAGAGGTAACAACTCATACAGACCAGTCCTAAAGAGATCATGTACAATCAACAAATTGTGGAGAATACATAAACAGCAAATTGAAGAAGGTTTATTTGCTGGAGAATAGGATGGTTACACATTGTAATGGAAGATATATATAAGTAGCTTACCCATGGACACATAATTTCTGTATTTTAAACTTGTGCTGCTATAATATTCCTCTAGTCCTAATTCAGGTGTTTCATCAATAACCTGACAGTTGCAATATAGCGAAATCTCTTAATTTATAAATGACAAGCCCTTCCAAATATTGAAATACCAGGCCTGTGATGCAGTTGTTGAACTTTTTACAAATAGGCAGAAAATGTTGACATCAAATTCATTTGAACAAATATTTTTTAAATCTGGGTTGCAAGGTTTCTGTTAAGTGACAGGGCAACGAGGAGTGCAAAAGACTATTCATAAGTCATATTGTTGAGATAAAGGATGAAAGCATTAAAAATTAGATTTCAGGGTAAAATCTATCAATATATTATATACCAAACTAGTGATGTAGACAGTCTAAAGTCAACAGAGGACTAGGTGCTGAGATCATTCAAGAAATGCAAAATAAAACTCAGTCTCTACTGCTATTTGCCCAGAATATGAGCAGGAGAACACTCCAGGAGAGCCGTCCCAAGTCATGGAGAAGTGACTGTGTTACTGACCTCAGCTCTGTGTCTCTTGAGTTTCACTTCCTTGTAGTCCCTTCATTTTGATTCATATTGCCAATGTGAAAAGGAAGGAGGCCTCTAAAAATGTGTTACTCCCCCTTCCCCATCTTTAAAATTTTGACCTAGAACCAAAAACTGAGATTTCCTTGATCTTCTTAAAAGAGCTAAGATAGAATGAAATTTTCAAAAGATGTATCACTTAAAATAAAGGGAAATGAGCAACGAAAATGCAATCATTGGAAGATGAAGTAAGAACAGCAACACAAATGATGACAGAGACCATAAATGCTGGAAGATGGAGACAAGGGTGGTTAGAAAAGTTTAGATGGGTTTCAATATTTTTAAAATATAGTTTAATATTTTTTCTCTGTGCCTCAGTGGATCATCTTGCACACCCTACTTTGGTGGTCCCTTTTTAAGAGTGACCACATCACTTTTTTGAGGGTCCAGATGGCAGAATAGCAGCAGTTAGGAATCCGGTCTTCAGACTTGGGTTTGAGTATTGAATCCCCTACACTATGTTGTTACCCATGGTATTTAATCCTTTTCAGCTTTTAAAATCGGAATAAGAATCATGAACTTCATAAGGTTCCCATGGGCATTACCTGAGCTGTGTATGTAGTGTACCAAATGTGCCTGGCACAAAGCTAACATGAATGGCAGTATTTACTGTCTCACCATCGGTTTTAGTGAATTGTCTTCATGAATACTTGTATTAGTAGCATAGTAATTCAGTGTTACCTTTTCATATTGCTGTTAAATTTTTCTCCCCTGCAGGATAGCAAAAGCGGATTTCATTGAATATCTAGGGCAGAACAGTCCTGCAGACAGGCGGTTTGGATCAAGCAAGCCAGTTCTCTGAACCTGAACAATGACTGCTGAATCAAGGGATACTACAGATTTCTCTCCCCAGGCTACCCAAGAGATGGAAGGCATAGTGATAGTGAAAGTGGAGGAGGACGATGAGGATGACCATTTTCAAAGGCAACAAAACAACATAGAAGTATCACTACAATTTCTTAGTCGTTCCACAACTATGAATGAGAGAGCCTTACTATCATCCTATTTAGTTGCATATCGAGTGGCAAAAGAGAAGATGGCTCACACAGCTGCAGAAAAAATTATTCTCCCAGCATGTATGGATATGGTACGTATGATTTTTGATGATAAATCTGCTGACAAATTAAGAACTATACCTCTTAGTGATAATACAATATCTCGTCGAATCTGTACTATTGCAAAACATTTAGAAGAAATGCTTATTACACGGCTACAGTCTGGCATAGATTTTGCAATCCAGCTTGACGAGAGCACAGATATTGCAAGTTGTCCAGCACTTTTGGTTTATGTCAGATATGTGTGGCAAGATGATTTTATAGAGGATCTGTTGTGTTGTTTTAATTTAAGTTCACAAAGAACTGGATTCGATTTATTTACTGAATTAGAAAAGTGCATTGTTAGCCAATATAAATTAAACTGGAGAAACTGGAAAGGAATTTCCAGTGATGGAGCAGCAACTATGACTGGAAAACATAGCATAGTTATTGAGAAATTGTTAGAAGCAACCCATAACAATGCTCCTTGGAATCACTGTTTTATTCATCGGGAAGCTTTGGTAGCCAGTGAAATTCCACCAAGTCTAATGGATGTACTGAAAAACGCAGTGAAAATTGTGAATTTTATTAAAGGAAGCTCATTGAACAGCTGACTTCTTGAAATACTTTATTCAGAGATTGGAGTTAACCATACCCACTTACTGTTTCATACAGAAGTTTGTTGGTTGTCTCAAGGAAATGTACTGAGTAGAGTATATGAACTCAGGAATGAGGTTTACGTTTTTCTCACTGAAAAGCAATCTCAATGGGCAAATATTTTTGAAGATGACATTTGGGTGACAAAATTGGCATATTTAAGTGATATTTTTGGCATTCTTAATGAATTAAATTTGAAACTACAGGGGAAAAACTATGATATATTTCAGTATCTTGAACATATCCTAGGATTCCAAAAGACATTACTGTTGTGGCAAGCAAGACTTAAAACTAATCGCTACTATATGTTCCCAACATTGTTACAACACATTGAAGAGAACATTATTAATGAGGACTGCTTAAAGGAAATAAAATTAGAGATACTGTTTCATCTCACTTCTTTGTCTCAAACCTTTAGTCATTACTTCCCAGAAGAGAAATTTGAAGTATTAAAGGAAAATCTTTGGGTGAAAAATCCATTTGCTTTTCAAACCCCAGAATCAATCATTAAGTTAAACTTGGTGCCTGAAGAGGAGAATGAGTTACTGCAGCTCAGTTCATCATTCACACTGAGGAGTTATTTTAAGACACTAAGTTTATCTGCATTTTGGATTAAGATTAAGGATGGATTTCCATTGCTAAGTACGAAGAGTATATTGCTGTTACTACCATTCACAACTACCTGTTTGTGTGAACTCGGATTTTCGATCTTGACACGATTAAAATCAAAGAAAAGGAATCGGCTCAACAGTGCACCTGACATGCGTGTGGCCTTATCTTCATGCATTCCCAATTGGAATAAACTTATGAACAGGCAAGCACACCCATCACATTAAATACAATCTTTATAAATTTCTTCGTACTTTTTAGGCTTTTTACTGTATACTGTATTTAAATATTAATAAAATCATACTTGCAATTTAATAGGTTTCATTTTCTAATATAGGAAGCATTGTTTCATGAAACTTGTTTGAGCTACATGAATGTGTACATGTATATAGGATAGTGATGTAAAAGATATTTCTATGAATTATGGTCAATTTTGAAAAATAGTGCTTTTCACGCCCTTAGTTGTATACTCAGATCTGTTCTGTCCACTGCCACTGTTTGTCCAGAACCCCGTACTGGTTCTCACCTTCTGTGTCTCTGTGTGCTCTGCCTTTTTTGTTCTAACTCCAGAAAGCGAGTCTTGATGCTAATCAGGGGTTAACATCATCATCATCGCCAGGCTTCTATACACATGGATGTGTGTCGTAATTGTAGCTAATGAGATATGCAGGACAGTCTGCTGGAATGTTGTTGTGAAGGTTCCCCCTACTCTCAATAAAATGGCATAAGAGAGGAGGTAACACTGACGGTAACATAATTTCTGACTCTCCCTAAACTGTTCCTTAAAAACACAGAGCAATGAGGATCGCAAAATGGAAACCCACGGATGTCATCTACAACAGAACAAGGTGACAGCACCACTGACAGAAAACTAACATGGTCTCAATCCATTGTGTAAAGGAAGCAGAAGCAACAAGCATCTAACAGGTTTGAAAAACACAAAATAACCAGCAGGAACTCATACAAAGTTTCAGTGAACTATATTAAGAACAGCAGCTGAAACCAGAAGGAGTTTGCCCACTTCCACTGAGGGTAAGTGTTAGGGGCTGGTGGTAAAGTCTGGGGGCAGCACAGGCTCTGACATAGAATCCAAACTGACCAAGATGGGGACAGAAGAGACCAAGCCTTACGTTTGTCCTTGAGGACTATTTGGTTTGGTTTCCTTTACCCAGAATTGGGATCTGTTTGGCTCCTGATTGGGGATGATTTGCTTTTGGCCAAGTTCCATCTTGGAAGTTTGCATAAACACTATCTTTACAGACCATGGCGATTTTCATGGGGTCTCTTCTATCTAAAGTCCTGACTCTTTTGGGTCAATACCTGCTTCCTTCATGTTTTTTCACTGTAACTAGTATGTATATCCCACCAGTACAATTTCCCCAGGGACAATTTGGAATTGTAATGGCCACTTTGAGGAAACTTGATATTAACAAGATAGTTCATTTGAGAAGTGCCTTTAAAAAAGGAAGAAACCCTAGAGTTTTTGTCTTGTCTTGCTTAATGTATGAAACGTGTCCACTGCTGCTCCCTACTCTATTTTAGGGCTTAATAAGCACCGCCTTCTGAATTGTAGGGCTGTTTAAACCTCATTCTGCCTTATTTTTTTCTCTTTCCCTTTCATTTTCCCTGTGTTGGGAAACCTTTAAAGATTAATTGACAAGGGAAAATGAGATTGTCACTTTCTGTGTAGTCTTAAAAATACTAGATAGTTAAAAGTTAAGTATAAGTAAGGAAAAGGTATTGATATAGGTCTTGCTTTACGAAAAATTTGATGTATTAGTGATTACTACTGAGGGCATTTTTATATGAAATTACTATGCATTTTTTATGAATAATACCTACTGCATATTGCGCACTTTCTTCGTGTCTGTTTTAACTTTGTTTATCCTATTTTTCCTGTACAGAAATTTTACATTTTTTATGTAGTGAAATCTGTCAGTCTTTTCCTTTAAGACTTCTGGGTTTTCTGTCATAATAAGACTTCTCTATACTAAATATATTAGAGGAGGCTAAACTGCCAAAATAAATAGGCCCAACATGTAAGGGCCCAAATAAAATAGAAGTTATTTTGTTCTCTTAATCATCCAGGACTGTTGCTCCAGACTGGGAGGAGGTGGGTTCAAATGGAGTCATTCAGGGACCCAGACACACTGGCTCTATCACCTTCAATATTATGGTTTCCAAGGTCACTCTGGCTATGGAAAAGTTTGCCTGAAAGGTTTTACAGGCTAGAGCTGTAAAACCTTTTTTTTTTTTAATTCAGTGATTTTTAATGTATTCAGAGTATTGTACAAGCATCAGCAATAATTGCAGAACAATTCCAAAACCCCAGAAAGAAACCCTTTACTTCCCAATTTCCCCTTCCCCCATCCTATGGTAACCACTAATCTACTTTCTGTCTCTATGTATTTACCTGTTCTAGACATTTCATATAAAAGGAATCATACAATATGTGACCTTCTGTGTCTGCTTCTTTCACTTACAATGTTTTCAAGGTTTATCCATGTTGTAGGATGTATCAATACTTAATTCCTTTTTATGACTGAATAATATTTCACACTATGGATATAACATATTTGTGGTGTATCCATTCAACAGTTGATGGGGTTGTTTTCACTCTTTGGCTGTTATAAATAATGCTTTCATGAATATACTGTACATATTTTTCTATAAATGTTTTCAATTCTCTTGGGTATATACCTAGATAGAAATGGAATTTCTGGGTCATATGGTATACTATCTCTAACTTTCTGAGTAACTGCCAAATTGTTTTCCAAAGAGGCTGTCCCATTTTACATTCCCACCAGAAATGTACGGGGGTTCTAAATTCTCCACATCCTTATCAACACCTATTTTTTCTGTTCCTTATGTTGTTTTTTTGAACTATCTTAACTGTCTTTGTGGGCATGAAATAGTAGCTTCCTTGTCCTTTAATTTTTGTGTGTCCCTTGTAAATAATATAGAGCTGAAGTTTGTTTTTGTTCCCTTCTCTGACAACCTTTTTTTTTTTTT